TAAACCAGGACTAAACCAGGACTAAACCAGGTCTAAACCAGGGACTAAACGGACTAAACCAGGTCTAAACCAGGACTAAACCAGGTCTAAACCAGGACTAAACCAGGACTAAACCAGGACTAAACCAGGTCTAAACCAGGACTAAACCAGGACTAAACCAGGTCTAAACCAGGACTAAACCAGGACTAAACCAGGACTAAACCGGGACTAAACCAGGTCTAACCAAATCTGAGTTGTTTTGATGAGATGAGCTTCATTTATTTATTTATTTTCTGTTTTTTTGTCAGTTTTGTTTTTTTTCCAGACGTTTCTCGGCTCAGTGAAACTTTCAGACTCTGTTGTGTTTTGACGTTGTTTTTTTTGCTCCTGAGTTTTTTTCTTCAGATTTTTTTCTTGTGATTTTTGTGTTTGATGAAAGTTTGGCTGAACCAGACGAGACTCGAGGAGCCACATCGTGTCCAGACAAAACTTCAACTCTGATTTAAAACTGACGCTGCAGAAACATCTGATTAAAAATCAGAGACGCCAGAAGAACCAGGACTAAACCAGGACTAAACCAGGACTAAACCAGGACTAAACCAGGACTAAACCAGGGAACTAAACCAGGACTAAACCAGACTAAACCAGGACTAAACCAGGAACTAAACCAGGAACTAAACCAGGACTAAACCAGGACTAAACCAAGGACTAAACCAGAACTAGAACTAAACCAGGACTAAACCAGAACTAAACCAGGACTAACCAGGACTACTAAACCAGGACTAAACCAGAACTAAACCGGGACTAAATCAGGTCAGAACATTTCACTGCGGAAAATCAAGATGAAAAAATAAAAATATGCACAGAACGAGCCGACACCCCCCCCCCCCCCCCCCCCCCTCCCCCCGGCCGGGGCGGAGTCTTTGAGGCTCGGGTGGGGGGGGGGAAGGGGGTTTGTGTGGGACGCGCTGACGCGGGGCGCGAGCGTCACTTCATCTGCACAGAGCGGAGAGCGCGTGCGGGAATGAGCCGCGGAGACTCACCGGAGCATCGAGCCGCGCGCAGCTGACCACACGTGACCGCAGGTGAGCGACCGCAGGTGAGCGACCGCAGGTGAGCGACCGCAGGTGAGCGACCGCAGGTGAGCGACCGCAGGTGAGCGACCGCAGGTGAGCCTGTTCCTTTACGCACTCTGTGTCCCTGTCCGCGCGCCTGTGCGTTTACCTGTGCGTGACCCTCCACACAAAGGGAGCGGGGGTCACGGCGTCGCCCGCGGTGCAGCGCACACCTGCGGGACTCTGCACGCGCTTCGGAGATTTAGAGTTTCGCGTTATTAAAGTTCAGACTCGAGTCAATTAAAGTTCAGACTCGAGTCAATTAAAGTTCAGACTCGAGTCGATTAAATGTGAAGCTGAAGCGTCCGTGTTTCAGATGTTTGTGTCCAGTGGAGGATGGGAGGGCATCTGACACAAATATCACCCAAAACAAACAAATATCACCAGAAAAAGGAGCGGAAACTGTCCGGGCTCCGGTTCCGCTCCGGATCTTCACTCGTTTCACTCCAGTTTGTTTTAATCGTTTCTTTTTCCAAAAACCTGAAGAATCGTTGGATTTTTGTTTAATTTTTCAAATATTTTTTCTCCATTTTTGCTCCAAAAACAAATATCAGTTTTTTTCAACTTTGGATTCTGCAAAAATCTGAGTGTGGAGAAAAATCTCCAGACTAAACCAGGACTAAACCAGGACTAAACCAGAACTAAACCAGGACTAAACCAGGACTAAACCAGGACTAAACCAGACTAAACCAGGACTAAACCAGAACTAAACCAGGACTAAACCAGGACTAAACCAGGACTAAACCAGGACTAAACCAGGACTAAACCAGAACTAAACCAGGACTAAACCAGGACTAAACCAGGACTAAACCAGGACTAAACCAGGACTAAACCAGAACTAAACCAGGACTAAACCAGGACTAAACCAGAACTAAACCAGAACTAAACCAGGACTAAACCAGAACTAAACCAGAACTAAACCAGAATTAAACCAGGACTAAACCAGGACTAAACCAGGTCCAAGTCTTTCTCAGATGAAACTGTCCTCCAGGAGCAGGAGGATAAAAGGATCTTCTCTTTAAAGCTGCACTGTGTAACTTTCCGGTTGTGGGTCCTTCTCCTGTTTGTTTCTTTCAGACTCTCTGACTCTCAGACTCTCTGACTCTCTGACTCTCTCAGACTCTCAGACTCTCTGGACTCTCTGACTCTCTGACTCTCTCAGACTCTCTGGCTCTCTGGCTCTCTGACTCTCAGACTCTCTGGCTCTCTGGCTCTCTGACTCTCAGACTCTCTGGCTCTCTGACTCTCTGGCTCTCTGGCTCTCAGACTCTCAGACTCTCAGACTCTCTGACTCTCTCAGACTCTCTGACTCTCTGACTCTCAGACTCTCAGACTCTCTGACTCTCTGACTCTCTCAGACTCTCAGACTCTCAGACTCTCTCTGGCTCTCTGGCTCTCTGGCTCTCTGACTCTCTGACTCTCTGACTCTCTGGCTCTCTGGACTCTCAGACTCTCAGACTCTCTGACTCTCTCAGACTCTCAGACTCTCTGGCTCTCTGGCTCTCTGACTCTCTGACTCTCTCAGACTCTCTGGCTCTCTGGCTCTCAGACTCTCTGACTCTCAGACTCTCAGACTCTCTGGCTCTCTGGCTCTCTGGCTCTCTGACTCTCAGACTCTCAGACTCTCTGGACTCTCTGACTCTCTGGCTCTCTGACTCTCTGGCTCTCTGGCTCTCTCTCTCAGACTCTCAGACTCTCAGACTCTCTGACTCTCTGGCTCTCAGACTCTCTGACTCTCTGACTCTCAGACTCTCTGGCTCTCTGGCTCTCAGGACTCTCTCTCACTCTCTCTGACTCTGGACTCTCAGACTCTCACTCTCTGGCTCTCTGGCTCTCTCTGACTCTCAGACTCTCAGACTCTCTGGCTCTCTGACTCTCTGGCTCTCTGGCTCTCTCAGACTCTCAGACTCTCTGGCTCTCTGGCTCTCTGGCTCTCAGACTCTCTCTGGACTCTCTCTCTGACTCTCAGACTCTCTGCTCTCTGGCTCTCTGGGACTCTGCTCTCAGACTCTCTCTCAGACTCTCTGACTCTCTGACTCTCTGGCTCTCTGGCTCTCTGGCTCTCAGACTCTCTGGCTCTCTGGCTCTCAGACTCTCTGGCTTTCAGACTCTCTGGCTCTCTGGCTCTCTCAGACTCTCTGGCTCTCTCTGGCTCTCTGGCTCTCTGGCTCTCTGACTCTCAGACTCTCTCTGGCTCTCTGGCTCTGACTCTCAGACTCTCTGGCTCTCTGGACTCTCTGACTCTCTGGCTCTCAGACTCTCTGGCTCTCTGGCTCTCTGGACTCTCTGGGCTCTCTGGCTCTCTGGACTCTCTGGCTCTCTGGCTTCTCTGGCTCTCTGGCTCTCTGACTCTCTGCTCTCAGACTGGCTCTCTGGCTCTCTGGCTCTCTCTCAGACTTCTCTGGCTCTCTGGCTCTCAGACTCTCTGGCTCTCAGACTCTCTGGCTCTCTGACTCTCTGGCTCTCTCTCTGAGCTCTCTCTCTGACTCTCTGGCTCTCTGGCTCTCTGGCTCTCTGGCTCTCAGACTCTCTGGCTCTCTGGCTCTCTGGCTCTCTGGCTCTCTGGCTCTCTGGCTCTCTGACTCTCTGGCTCTCTTCTCTGGCTCTCTGGCTCTCTGGCTCTCAGACTCTCTGGCTCTCAGACTCTCTGGCTCTCTGGCTCTCTGGCTCGTTCCGTGAGGAGGTGGAGGATATAAAAGGATCTCGTCTTTGTTTGAGTCACAAGTCGCAGCTCGTCTGATCTGATCTGCTCGCGCCGCACATACCAACGCCCTGACACACACAGACCAACACACACAGACCAACTCACACACAGACACCACACACACACACAGACCAACTCACTCACACAGCCAACACAGACACAACAGACACACACAGACCAACTCACACACAGACCAACTCACACACAGACCAACTCACACACAGACCACTCACACACACACCAACTCACACACAGACCAACTCACACACACACACAACTCACACACAGACTCACACACAGACCAACTCACTCACACACAGACCAACTCACACACAGACCAACTCACACACAGACCAACTCACACACAGACCAACTCACACACAGACCAACTCACACACAGACACTCACACAGACCAACTCACACAGACCAACTCACACACAGACCAACTCAACACACACAGACCAACTCACACACAGACCAACTCACACACAGACCAACTCACACACAGACCAACTCACACACAGACCAACTCACACACAGACCAACTCACACACAGACCAACTCACACACAGACCAACTCACACACAACAACTCACACACAGACCAACTCACACACAGACCCACACACAGACCAACTCACACACAGACCAACTCACACACAGACCAACTCACACACAGACCAACTCACACACACAACACACACACACACAACAGACACTCAACACCAAACACAACACCAACTGACCAACTCACACACAGGACCAACTCACACACAGACCAGACCAACTCAACTCACACACAGACCAACTCACACACACACCAACTCACACACAGACCAACTACACACAGACCAACTCACACACACAGACCAACTCAACTCACACACAGACCAACTCACACACAGACCAACTCACACACAACCACACACACCAACTCACACACAGACCAACTCACACACAGACCAACTCACACAGACCAACTCACACACAGACCAACTCACACACAGACCAACTCACACACAGACCAACTCACACACAGACCAACTCACACACAGACCAACTCACACAGACCAACTCACACACAGACCAACTCACACACAGACCAACTCAACTCACACACACACACAACTCACACACAGACACACACTCAACTCACACACAGACCAACTCACACACAACAACTCACACCACAGACCACACTA